TCTCAGGCTAATTCTCTACCACTTGAGACCACAGTAGCACTTCTTGCTTTTTCTCAGTAGTTTATTGGAGATAACAGTCTTTCCTGCCTGGGCTGGTTTTGAACTGTGATCCTCAACCCCCTGAGAAGGTAGAATTACTGATGAGCCACTAGCACCCCACTGAACTTTAAAAAAAAAATCATACTTAAATTGTACCAGGTAGGTTCCATTGTAACAGTTCCACACTTACAATGTGTCAACAATAAATAACTGAATATATGTAAGTAAGTATAAAAATAAGCAAAATATGGCTATGGATATGTGGCTTAGTGGTAGAGTATTTGCCTAGCATGCATAAAACCCTGGGTTCAATTCCTCAGTACCACATACACAGAAAAAACTGGACGTGGTGCTGTGGCTCAAGTGGTAGAGTGCTAGCCTTGAGCAAAAGAAGCTCAGGGACAATGTTTAGGCCCAGAGTTCAAACCCCAGAACTGACAACAACAACAAAAAAAGTAAAATAAAATAAATATGAGAGAACATAACCTATAGTTTAGGTTTTGGTACTTTGTTGATAGTAAACATGCTATATACCATCACTGGTTAGTGTTAACAATTAAGATTTATTATGATAAGCTGTGTACTATTATTGATAGGCAAGCCCTTAAAAAAATCTTAGTTTATCTTGATGAGAGTGATGGAAGGAGTGACATTATCGAAAAAGAAATGTGCTTTTGGCCAGGTGCTGGCGGCTCATGCCTATAATCCTAGCTACTCAGGCTGCCTTCTAACTTCAGTCCTCAGATCTTAGGCTCCTGAGTAGCTAGCATTACAGGCATGAGCCGCTGGCATGAGCCGCTGGCACTTGGCGAGAGATTTCTTTAGATGGGGGAGGTAGTAGGTCTGCCGGTTCTCTTGTCTGTAAGTAGACATGGTAACTAATGGGAGGTATGAAGAAGTGGTTACTCATTATAGCTGCTAATTACCTTAACTTCATTTGGCTGATAGAAATTTGTACATATACTGCTTTTACTTTAGAGCAAGAAAATGTAACAGCTGGGGATCTAATTAAACTGGGAAGTGAGGCTGTATGTTCCATCACACTGTATGTTCTCATGTGACTGAGAACTGAGATCTGCTGGTTCTTTGAAATAATATGGTGTCTGCTAAAGCTTATGGGTAAATGTTGTCTCTTGTAGGTACTGAAACAGGAAGATTTTGTTCAGATGATTTTATTGGCAGCATTATATCTAGGACTGCTGCTTCAAAAGAGCGGAATTTAGATATAAAGCTCCCAAACTACTATGTAATACAGTTTGTTTTCCATTAACTATAAAAGAACGCATTTCAGGAAGTGCATTTGGGAGGCATTGTGGATTTTGTGCAACAGACACTAAAAGCTTTGAGTGCTTGGGAGTGTGCCAGGTTATCAATGGTATTTTTCTGTCCATTAAGCTGCTTGCCTTTCTCACATCTATTGTTATATTTTTATTTACATTTTTTAGCTGAAGTAGTTACTCATTTTAAATGGGCAGAATTTTTGTCTTCAGTCTGTATAATTAAATTCTTCTAGAGCAAAATTTCTGAAAACTGTGTATCACTGAGGTCAGTGGCTAAGTGATTGTCTAGACTTACACAGGATTCCATTTTGTATGTTGCCCTGTTCAGATGCATTTATCCCCTAGAAGAATTTACATAGGCAAGTCTTAGCTGGGGAGCATTATTGCGTCCTCCAGCAACTCTTTAAGAAGTAGATATAAAAAGGGTAGTATGTATTCATTTCTTTTGGTCCTTTTGTAGAAAATGACCAGTAATGAACCAAGCTAGCCTTTTGTTATTTACCAGCCACCATGTTTGGTATTGTGATAGACTATCTCATTAATATACTTCTGTGTTCTATTTTTATATAGATAGAAAATTAAAGCTGAGGGACTGGGAAAGTGGCTCATTGGTAGAGTGCTTGCCTTGCATGCATGAGGGCCTGGGTTCGATTCCTCAGCACCACATAAGCAGAAGAAGCCGGAAGTGACACTGGGGCTCAAATGGTAAGAGTGCTAGCCTTGAGCCGAAGAGCTGAGGAACAGCACCCAGGCCCAGAGTTCAGGCTCCACAACGCTCTCTCTCTCTCTCTCTCTCTCTCACTCTCTCTCACACACACACACACACACACACACACACACACACACACACAAAATAAAAACAAAATAAAATGAAATAAAGCTGAGAGTAATTTTATAGTTTGTTTATCACTTTTTAGTTTAGTGAGAACTTTGGAGGAATGACTCTTGGTAGTGAAGACTGATCACTGATTAAGAATATCATTTTTTTGGGCTGGGAAGGTGGCTCAGTGGTAGAGCGCTTGCCTTGCATGCCTGAGGCCCTGGGTTCGATTCCCCAGCACCACATAAGCAAAAAAGAAAAAAAGCCAGAAGTGGCTTGTGGCTCAAATGGTAGAGCGCTAGCCTTGAGCTGAAGAGCTGAGGGACACCGCCCAGGCCCAGAGTTCAAGCCCCACAACTGGACACAAAAATAAAAAAATAAAATAAAATATATATTTCTTAAAAAAAAAAAAAAAAAAAAAAGAATATCATTTTTTTAATACCAGGAAGCTGAAATAAATTCATGACCCAGGGGACTGGCAAAGGAGGCTAAAAGGAGGGGAGCAGATGGAAAGAGGAATGGTGGGCAAATACAATCATATTCAGTTTACATACATGAAAGTAGAAATAGGAGATTTGGTAAAATGGGAGAAGGGAGAAAGATGAGGGAGATGACTAATCAAGGTGCATTCTACAGTTTGGTGAATGAGAGCTTAGAAACAGCATTTTGTTCTCAAAAATGCAGTGTTTGGTTTTCTCTATTGTAAGACCAAGTTAGGTTAAATAAAAATCAGAAAATAGCCAGGCACTGGTGGCTCACACCTGTAATCCTAGCTACTCAAGAGGCTGAGATCTGAGGATCAGCCCAGGCAGGAAAGTCCCTGAGACTCTTATCTCCAATAAACCACTAGAAAACCGGAAGTGGCACTGAGTCTCAAGTGGTAGAATGCTTGCCTTCAGCTGAAGAGCTGAGGGAAAATGCCCAAGCCCAGAGTTCAAGCCCATGTCCGGCCCCCCCCTCCCCCCCCCCAAAAAATCAGAAAATAACTGTGAAATTAGAAAATAATTGTGGACTCTTTATATACCTTTATCCTTTTCCATGATATGTACATATAAAGCTATTTATTTATGTTAGGTTCCAACCCCACTTTGGTTGGTTGTAGGACTTGAACTTGGCCTAAGCGCTGTCCCAGGGTTTTTTTTTTTTGGTGGGGGGGGGTTGATTGTGGGGCTTGTACTCTGGGCCTGGGTGCCGTCCCTCAGCTCTTCAGCTCAAGGTGAGCACTGTACCACTTGAGCCACAGAACCACACTCTCTGAGCTTTTTTGCTTAAGACTAGCACTCTACCACTTTGACCCACAGTGCCACTTCTGGTTTTCTGGTGGTTAATTAGAGATAAGAGTCTCATGGACTTTCCTGCCTGGATTAGTAGTTTTTAAAAGCAGTAATACAGTATATCCCAATAAATCAGTCTGGGTTTTAAGTGTCATATGTGCAGAATATGGTCTTAAAACACTAGAAAGCGTTAAGAAAACTGGCCAGGCCCTGGTGGTTCAAGCCTGTAATCCTAGCTACTCAGGAGACCAAGATCTGAGGATCAGAGTTCAAAGCCAGCCCTGGCAGGAAAAATCATGAAACCCTTATCTCCCAAAAAACCAGGAAGTGGCACTGTGGCTCAAGTGATAGAGCACCAGCCTTGAGCTGAAGAGCTGAGGGACAGTGCCCAGGCCCAGAGTTCAAGCCCCAGGACTGACAAAAAAACAAAAATGAGGAGGAGGGGGGGGAGGGGAAGGGGAAAGGGGAAGGAAGGAAGAGGCAGAGGAAGAGGAGAAGGAGGAGGAGGAAAAAAGGAAGAAGAAGAAAAAAGAAGAAAACAATTACCTAATTTTCCTACCCTCAGGATATGATACTTATTCTCTAATGGAATAAAATAGGAGAAAAAATATGAGAAATAGTATGAATCTAGTGCAGTAGCTGTACTATGTAGAATGTGCCAAGGGCTTGAGGATTGAAAAGGTTTCAGGCTGGGCATGGGCTAAATACTCAGCATGTAATATGGACTTACTAAGTGGCTGTTGCTCTTCTTATCGTCATTACTCTAGGTTCTTTAGGTGTGCAGGAAAATATTGATTCTAGGTATACAAGTTTAGAAAAAAAATTATTTCAGGATTTAGGAAGAACCCTGAGCTATGTGTTGTACAGGTAAAGATTTGTTTCCTATTCATACAGAGTAGAATTCTGATGAGCTCTGTTAAACAGAAGAACTATCTGCTTATAGACAGTCAATGAGTTCCACAAAAGGAGAAACTGGGTAATATTTTATTTTATTTCATTCTATCTATACATTAGGTCAGCTAAAGTTGCCACTAAATACTAGGACAACAATAAAAAATATTCTATTAGTATGTTAGAAAAATCAGTTTGTGTTTATTGTGGCAAGAGGTTAAATTACTCTCCCTCCCTCCCCCAGTTTTCAGTACTGAAGATTGGACTTGGGGGTCTCACACATACTAGGCATTCACTCTACCACTGACCTATATCTCCAATCCAAGTTAAAATTCTGTCTTTGAAATTATGGCATTTTTTTCTTTGGTTGCCTTATGGTACAATAGTTGGGAAAAAATATTGTGTCAGGGAACAGGAAGAAGTCAAGGTTGGTTGATTTACTCTTTTTCTTAAAATATAATTTTATTGTGTAGCTTACATCTTTGGATTCCCAAGCTTTTTTTTTTTTTTTCTTTGTTTTCTAGTCTTGCTGGATCTCATTATCTCTGTTTAGTTTTCACTTAGAAATCATATTTCATGTATGTGAACAGCTTTGGGAATGTGACCTTTCTCATGACCCTGTAAGCTAAGATTTTTCTGTGGATTTCCCAGAAGAAATGACACTAAACATATATATATACTCTGCTTTTCCTTTAGGTAAAAATCTCTACACCAATGAATATGTAGCAATCAAACTGGTGAGTAGAATTTGTGTTTGTAGTAATTATGTTTTGGTATTCTTGGTGCTAATATTTTTTGTATTTTAATTTTGGCTGTACTGAGGTTACTTTTTTACTTTTTTTTTTTTTTTTTTACTTTTCTCATTTGGTACTGGGAATTGAAGTTAGGATGTTGGATTTCTAGGTAAGCACTTTGCATCTCAGCTCTGTATTGGTTATTTTTGAGGTAGAGTTTTACTTTATGCCCTGGCCAGCCTGGGCAACAATCTTCCTACTTGTGTTCCTTACATTTCAGGGAATAACAGTCATGTACCACTGCATCCATCTAGTCATTGTACCAGGATGTGCCACTATGCACAAATTTTTTTTTTTTTTTGTCAGTCGTGGGCCTGAACTCTGGGCCTGGACGCTGTCCCTCAGCTCTTCAGCTCAAGGCCAGCGCTCTACCACTTGAGCCACAGCGCCACTCCTGGCTTTTTCTGCTTATGTGGTGCTGAGGAATTGAACCCAGGGCCTCAGGCATGCGAGGCAAGCGCTCTACCACTGAGCCACCTTCCCAGCCCCTGCACAAGTATTTTTTGAGATGGAGTCTTATACACTTTTTTTGTTGTTGTTCCTGTCCTGAGGATTGAACTTGGGGCCTGGGGCCTGTCCTTGAGTTTCTTTTGCTAAAGGCTAACAACACTCTACCACTTGAGCTACATATAACACCATTTCTGGCTTTTTCTGTTTATGTGAAACTGAGGAATTGAATGAACCCAGGGCTTCATGCTTGCTAGGCAAGCCCTCTACCACTAAGCCACATTCTCAGCCTCTCATGACCTTTTTTCCTGGACTGGCCTCAATCTTCAATCCCCCAATTTCTACCTCTTGTGCATCTAGAATTACACAGTCCTGAGCCACTCTACCCAGCTTTACTGCACGCACATGTGCATGTGTGCGTGCGTGCGTGCGTGTGTGCGTGTGTGTTGAGGGCGCATTGTGTGCCAATTCTGGGACTTGAACTCAGGGCCAAGGTGAGCTTTTTTTTTGCTCAAGGCTAGCTATTCTTTTAACATTTGAGCCACAGCTCCAGTTCTAGCCTTTTTGGTAGTTTAGTGGAGAGAAGAATCTCACAGACTTTTTCTTGCTGTGCTGGCTTTGAGCCATGATCCTCAAATCTCAACCTCCTGAGTAGCTAGGATTATAGATAATGTGCCACTGGCTCCTGACAATTTTCAAAAATTTTTAACTTTTTAAAACTACTAAATAGGGCTGGGAAGGTGGCTCAGTGGTAGAGCGCTTGCCTTGCATGCATGAGGCCCTGGGTTTGATTCCTTATCACCACATAAGCAAAAAGAAAAAAGCCGGAAGTGGCGCTGTGGCTCAAGTGGTAGAGCGCTAGCCTTGAGCTGAAGAGCTGAGGGACAGTACCCAGGCCCAGAGTTCAGGCCCCACGACCGGACCCAAAAAAATAAAAAACAAAAAAAAACTACTAAATAAAGATTGCAGACTTACACCTGTAATCCTAGCTAGTCAGGAGGCTGAATCTGAGGATTGGGGTTCAAAGCCAGCCCAGGCAGGCAAGTCCATGGGACTGTTATCTCCAGTTAACCATCAGAAAACCAAAAGTGGTGCTGTGACTCAAGTGGTAGAGTGCTTATCTTGAGCTGAAGAGCTCAGGGACGGTGCCCAGGCCCAGAATTCAAGCCTCGTGACTGACAGAAAACAACAATAAAAACAACAACAAACTGCTAAATAAATTTAGAAGAAAACCAAATCTGTTTTTCTAATCAGGGTCTTAAAAATCTTTCAAGGCTGGGAAGTTAACTCAGTGGTAGAGTGCTTGCCTTGCATGCATGAGGCCCTGGGTTCGATTCCTCAGAACCACATAAGCTGAAAAAGCCAGAAGTGGCGCTGTGGCTCAAGCAGTAGAGCACTCAACTTCAGCTGAAGAGCGCAAGGACAGCGTCCAAGCCGAATTCAAGCCCAATGACCAACCAAAAAAAAAAGAGGCTGAGATCTGAGGATCACAGTTTGAAGCCAGCCCGGACAGAAAATTCCCCATGAGAGTCCTATCTTCAATTAACCTTTAAAAAACCTGAAGTGGCACTGTGGCTCAAGTGGTAGAGCAGTAGCCTTGAGCACAAAGAGGTTCAGGGACTGGGCCCAGACCCTGAGTTCAAGCCCCATAACCCACAAAGAACAAAAATGCCCTACTTAAAAAATAATTAATTTTAAGCTTAGTGCTACAGGTTCATGCCTGTAATCCTAGCTACTCAGTAGGCTAATCATGGTTCAAAGCCAACCTAGACAGGAAAGTCTGTGAGACTCTTATCACCAGAAAACTAGAAGTAGTAGATGTGGAGCTGTGGCTCAAAGTGGTAGAGTTCTAGCTTTGAGTAGAAAAGCTCTGGGACAGTGCCCAGGCTCTGAGTTTAAGCTCTGCAACTGAGAAAGAAAGAAAGAAAAGAAAGAAAGAAAAGAGAGAAAGAAAGGAAAGAGAGAGAGAAAGGAAGAAAGAGGAAGGAAGGAAAGAAGGAAAAGAAAGATTAATTTTATTTCTTGGAGGAACAATAAGTTTAGAAACAGTTCTTTCTTGTATTTAAAGTTGATTCCAAGCCATTTTTAGTTATATGGAATAATTTATATGACTAATTTCTATATAAATGTCTGCCCTCTAGAAATACTAGTAAGTCTCCCAAAGTTTACAGGTAGCTTTGAACTTCATTAGTTGCAAGCTAGAGGTGTTATTTCTGGGGAGAAAGGAGAAGAAAGGGGATCTACTTAATTCGAATTCTAATGACTACAGTCATAAGCCACCATACCTAGGGTACCTAGGCTTTTTTTTTGTTGTTGTTGGTTGTGGGGCTTGAACTCTGGGCCTGGGCACTATCCCTCAGCTATTCAGCTCAAGGCAGTACTCTACCACTTCAGCCACAGTGCCGCTTCCCTTTTCTGAGTGGTTTATTGGAGATAAGTGTCTCAGAGTTTCCTGCAGGGGTTGGTTTTGAGCCACAATCCTCAGCTCTCAGTCTCCTGAGTAGGTAGGATTACAGGCGTGAGCCACCGATGCCCTGAGGCTAGTTGTTTTTTAAAGTTCTTAAAAACCAAAGAAACAAGAGCCCACAATGAAGATCCAAACAAAGTAGAATTGAAACAGCAGCCAGCAGAGCTTCTTTGTATTTCTGTGCCAGATGTTTATTTCATTTTCATAGAAGTCTGGCCACTTGCCAGAATCCTGGTTATTCTGGAACACACATGCCTGCCTGAAATCCTAAACCTACAGCAGATGGCTACCTTATAGGAGCATGATACTTAATACAGATTTTTCCCTTACAATGAAAGGAGCTCAGTCACTATACTGTTGTATTCCTTGGAGAATAAGCCAAACATCAAGAAAACAGACTCACAGATAAGACTGCTATGCTCTAAAACACCTTTATTTACCTTTTTACTTGAAAGAGAAATGTAGTTCTCAGACATACCATATTAATAGATATAAATTCCATTCTTAGAGTTCTTGTTTTGTTTTTCTTCCTCCTGGGATTGAACCCAGGGCCTCATACGTGCAATGTATGCCTTCTACTACTGAGCTACATTGGCCATACAAAGTAGAAGGAAAAATAATAGAGGAAGTGAAATGTAATGGTAAATCATGTCAATAATATAGAGATAAGGGCTGGGAAGGTGGCTCAGTGGTAAGAGTGCTTGCCTTGCATGCTTTAGGCCCTGGGTTCGATTCCTCAGCACCACATAAGCAAAAAGAAAGTCGGAAGTGGCGCTGTGGCTCAAGTGGTAGAGTGCTAGCCTTGAGCTAAAGAGCTGAGGGACAGCACCCAGGCCCAGAGTTCAGGCCCACGACTGGCCGCCCCCCACCCCTGCAAAAAAATAATAATAATAATAATATAGAGATAAATTGACTAGTATAAATTTGGTAGAGGAAATATAGACAGAATTCTAATAGAAGAAAAAAATCTCAAAAGCAGTCTTGAAAAATAAAGTTAAAGGAGCAAGTATACAGTAATAAGAATTTTTGTATTGTTTTGTTTTGTGCCGGTCCGGGGGCTTGAACTCAGGGCCTGGGTACTGTTTCTCATCTGAACTTTTGTGCTCAATAATCTATGCAACTTATTAAACATCAGCCTGTGTTACCAAGGGAAGGAAGTTGGAAAATCTCTTGAACACTGAATAAATAGGACATAAAACCACTCAGTGGGAAAAAGGACAGTATTTTCAACCAGTGGTGCTGGGAAAACTGGATGTCCAAATGTTATAAAGTTGAACCTTTACCTTATGTACAAAAATTAACTCTTGGGCTTAGTGGTAAAGTACTTAGGCCTAGCATGTATGAAGCCCTGGGTTCAATTCCTCCATAGCACATAAACAGAAAAAGTGGTGCTATGGCTCAAGTGGTAGAGCACTAGCCTTGAGCACACAGAGGCTCAGGGACTGGGCTCAGTGTCTGAATTCAAGCCCAGGACCGGGGGGAAAAACAAATACTTGGTGAATTAAAGACCTCCGTGACCATAAATCATAGGGGAAAAATAATATCACATTGCATTTGTCAGCAGTTTCTTTTGTATGATACCAAAAATTACGAACAACCAAAGAAAAATTGATAAATTGAACTTTAGCAAAGTTTTAAGCTTCTGTGGATCCAGAGACATTTAGCAGAATGAAAAGGCAACCTATGAAATGGGAGGAAACATTTAAAAATAATTATCCAATAAAGCATAGACTAGAATTTACCTCCCCTCCCCCTCATATAAAGGTGGTTTGTTGTTTGTTTCTAGTAATAATGGGATTTGAAATCAGGGTCTCACACTTATAAGAAAGGGGTTCTGTCACTGAGCACATCTCTACTCTTTTGTGCCTTTTTTTTTTTTTTTTTTCCGGTCGTGGGGCCTAAACTCTGGGCCTGGGCGCTGTCCCTCAGCTCTTCATCTCAAGGCTAGCGCTCTACCACTTGAGCCACAGCGCCACTTCCGGCTTTTTTTCTTTTTTGATTATGTGGTGCTGAGGAATCGAACCCAGGGCCTCTGGCATGCAAGGCAAGCACTCTACCACTAAGCCACCTTCCCAGCCCCTGTGCCTTTTTTTTTGGTCAGTTGTGGGTCTTGAACTCTGTGGGCCTTGGCACTGTACCTGAGCTCTTTAGCTCAAGGCGAGCTCTCTAACACTTGAGCCACAGTGCTACTTCTGGTTTTCTGGTGGTTATTTGGATATGAGTCTCATGGACTTTCCTGCCCAGGCTGGCTTTGAGCTGTGATCCTCAGATCTCAGTCCCCTGAGTAGCTTAGGATTTATAGACATGAACCATGGGCGCCTGGGTGTGTGCTTGTTTTGTTTTGTTTTTGTGTGTGTCAGGTCATGGGGCCTGAGCTAGCTAGCACTCTACCACTTGAGCCACAGTGCCACTTCCGGCTTTTTTTCTTTTTGGTTATAAGCATGCAAGGCAAGCACTCTACTACTGAGCCACCTTCCCAGCCCTATTTGAAACTTTTTTTTTTTTTGGTTGGTTGTGGGGCTAGAATTCTGGGCTTGGGTGTGTCCCTGCGCTCTTCAGCTCAAGGAGAGATCTACAGCTTGAACCACAGCACCACTTCCCCTTTTCTAGTGGTTAGTTGGAGATAAGAGTCTCACTGCCTGGGCTGGCTTTGAACCACGATTCTCAGATCTCAACCTCCTGAGTAGCTAGGATTACAGGCATGAGCCACCTGCGCCCAGCTGAAACTTTTTTTTTTAGAATATATTTTTCTAAAAACAGAAAAATTATGCATTTAGCTTTTATGCATTTAGCTTTTAAAAAATATTTGACAGGGCTGGGAAGTTGCCTCAGTGGTAGAGTGCTTGCCTCGCATGCCTGAGGCTCTGGGTTTGATTCCTCAGCACCACAAAAGCAAAAAATGCCAGAAGTGGCACTGTGGCTCAAGTGGTAGGGTGCTAGCCTTGAGCTGAAGAGCTGAGGGACAGCGCCCAGGCCGAGTTCTGCCCCCACAACCGACCCCCCCCCCCCCCAAAAAAAAAAAATTGACATCTTATTTCCTGGGAGAATACGTTTCATATTATTTCTTGCTGAAGAGATGTCCTTCAGCGATGACTCATGGAAATTCTGTTTTTACTTGGTCATCTATGGAAGGGGTTGCATATAATCTAACTCATCTCCTCTCAGTTGTATATTCAGTGCCAAAGAGTGATAAGAAAAGACTATGATATAGATACAATCTCTTAAAACATTAGGTATTTAGACAATAGTAACTCTGAAAAAAATGTGCAAATGGAAAAATCCCTTTTGTCTAAATGTGATCACAGTTTTTCTTTTTGGGTTTCAGGAACCAATAAAATCACGTGCTCCCCAGCTTCATTTAGAGTACAGGTTTTATAAACAGCTTGGCAGTTCAGGTAAGTCATCTTTTTTTTTTTTTCCCTCCATTTTCTTAACATATTGCCTAGCTACAAACCCTAAAATATGCAAGATTTTTGTCTTGTTTGTTCTTTTTACTAGACCATATATCTAGCCTGCTTGTTGGGTAAGCAGACAATAGCCATCTACGAGTAAAGCTCTTTACTGTTCTGTTCCTGGAGTGATTACTCCAAATACACATGCTACGGGGCTTTTTCCTCTTAATAGTTCATTGTTCTTTTCATTTTGTTATGTACATCGAAAGAAATGAGACAAGGTACGTATTTTTCAAACTATTTTTTTTCCAGCATTTGCAGCACATTATGCAATAGCACAGCACTGTCAAAATCTATCCATAGATTTAAATTTAGGTTAGGCACCAATGATTCACACCTTTAAAGCTAATTCTAGCTACTCAGGAGGCTGATATCTGAGGATTGAAGTTTGAAGTCAGTTTGGGCAGACATCCAAGAAATTAGTATCCAAGTTACAAGTAAAGAGTGAGAAGTAGAAGTATGGCTCAAGTGGTAAAAGTGTTAGCCTTGAGTTGGAAGCGGGGATTTGGGATAGTGGTAGTAAGAGACAGTACCCAGCTGGGCATGCCCATAATCCTAGCTACTGAGGAGGCTGAGATCTGAGGATCACGGTTCAAAGCCAGCCTGGGCAGAAAATCCAGTGAGACTCTTACCTCCAATAAACCACTCAGAAAACCAGAAGTGGCACTGTGGCTTAAGTGGTAGAGCACTCACCTTGAGCTGAAGAGTGTAAGGATAGTGCCCAAGCCCAGAGTTTAAGCCCTATGACCAACCAAAAAAAAAAAAAAGAGACAGTACCCAGGCACTGAGTTCATACACCACTATTGGCACACACACATATACACACAAAGATGTAAAAATTTAGGGCTGGGATATACTGTAATATAGCTTAGTAGTTAAGTACTTAGTTATTATTTGAAAGGCCCTAGATTCAATCTCTAGCAATGCAAACAAGTTTATACTTTTTTTAAAAAAATGTCTGTTTTTCTACCTGAAAGCTCAAGTTACTAAAATGCCTTACTGGCTTACTGAAAAATATTTTAATTAAACGAATGTTACCAACCTTAAATAGACTACATCTATAGTTCATCTCTCTTAGAAGATGAAGTATTTCAGATCTGGTTTAATCACAGAACAGTCGAAATTCCTCTCCTTTATACTTCCTTCAATGTGACAGGGTTTTTGTTTTTTGTTTTTTGTTTTTTGTTAATCACTGCAGGAAGTTTTTTATTTTCAAGTATGAGCTATTAAAGGACTTTTGGTTTAATAGATTAGAAGAGAGCCACTATTTATGATTTTTTGTGTGTGTGTCTGTGCCTACTATCCTGGTGCTTGAACTCTGGGCCAGGGCACTGTCCCTGAGCTTTTATGCTCAAGGCTAGGGCTCTACCACTTGAGCCACACCTTCACTTCTACTTTTTGAGTGTTTAATTGGAGTTATAGGAGTCTTGTAGACTTTCCTGTCCAGGTTGACTTCAAAGTTTGATCCTCAGATCTCAGCCTCCTGAATAGTTAGGATTAGTGGTATGAGCCACTAGCATCCAGAATTACTTGTTAATTTAAGTCTTAAAACCTAACTGTGCTAGTATCTACTATAGTCCTAACCTAGGTGGCAGCCACAATGAGTATTTATCTTCACTGAACTTTAGCCTGTGCTGTTGCTCATGGTGGCTTGTGGGTATGTGTTAAATGACTGTTCCATATCCTTGAACACAGAGTGTTCCTGGATAAGACTTGAACTTAGAAGCTGGGTTTGCAGGGCTCTTTTTTGTGGGGAGAGGGGTGGTTCTGAGATCAAACGCTGGGGCTTTGTGTGTGCTAAACAAACACTCTACCACTGAACTATATCCTCAACTGTAATCAGATTTTTTTTAGAAATCAGTTACATTACAAATATAACCCCAACAAAAGGAACATCCAGTGATTAGTGAATCAAGAGAACCATGTATGTTTTCCTATAATGAGATGGCAAGGCTGGGAATAGATTTTTTGTACAAGGAAAAACAAAAAATTTTAAATGTGACATTGTATGTAAAGAATATGAAATATTACTGTTTTCCATACTGATAAAAAGTCAAAAGTTTAGACTTTTTCCTCTAAGCCAAACATATTCTTTGCAGTTATTTATTTGTTTGTTTATTTATTTATTATGGCCAGTCGTGAGGCCTGAACTCTGGGCCTAGACACTGTCCCTCAGCTCTTCAGCTCAAGGCTAGCGCTCTATTACCTGAGTCCCACAGCACCACTTCTGGCTTTTTCTGTTTATGTGGTACTGAGGAATCAAACCCAGGCCTCATGCATGCAAGGCAAGCACTCTACCACTGAGCCATCTTCCCAGTCCCAAAGTTTTTATTTTTGCTTCATTTCTTCTTATTGTTGAGAAACAGGACTTTGATGTTTTCTTTTCTTTTTTTTTTTTTGGGTCCGGTCATGGGGCCTGAACTCTGGGCCTGGGAACTGTCCCTCAGCACTTCAGCTCAAGGCTAGCGCTCTACCACTTGAGCCACAGTGCCACTTCCGGCTTCTTTTCTTTTTGCTTATGTGGTGCTGAGGAATCGAACCCAGGGCCTCATGCATGCAAGGCAAGCACTCTACCACTGAGCCACCTTCCCAGCCCTGATGTTTTCTTTTCAAGTCTAGGTTATACTGATTGTTTTGAGTATGCGGTATTAGGCATCAGATTTAGCGATGGCTTCTGGATTCCCTATAACTTACCCTAGTAAATAACTTTCCCTAGTAGCTTCAATATTTAGTACAATGGCTCAGTTAGGTCACAAAAACAACACTGTTTAATCATAGGAATTAAAAGCTGTTATTAGTTACAGTCATCTTCCTTAGTTATTTACCTTTTTTCTTTTTCAGTTGTTAATATTGGGTTAGTTGAAGTTACCAGGAACAAGATCCAAATTTACTTTCATTTTATTGGACTGGTTTTAGATTTCTCTGTGCTCTTCAGATCTTTAAACTTAGGAAGACACAAGTTACTTTACATTTTTTTTTTCCACAGTCCATAAACCTTTTATCCAGCGTACCTCTATTTTGTTAACATTCTAGTACATACAGAAGTAAGAGTTGTAGATGACAAGTTTAGAGGGATAGGCAGGGCCATCTACATTGGGGTGGAGAAGACCCATCATTGAATATGGGCTGGCCACATGGTAAGAACCATATATATGTTTGTAATTGAGAAAAGGATAAATTAGCCAGACCCAAACATAGCTGAAGTCGGTGGGAAGGAGTAGTGAGCAGAGGGAAGAATGAGTCAGCTAGGGCAGGAACAAAAGAAAGGATGGGAGAAGGCAGGTAGGTAAATGGTGAGAAAATTGTGCTCTAGCTGCACAAATGAGAATGCAAATAGATAAATATGATGGAGACAGGGACTGGGAAGGTGGCTCAGTGGTAGAGTGCTTGCCTTGCATGCATGAGGCCCTGGGTTCGATTCCTCAGCACCACATAAGCAAAAAGAAAAGAAGCCGGAAGTGGCGCTGTGGCTCAAGTGGTAGAGTGCTAGCCTTGAGCTGAAGAGCTGAGGGACAGCGCTCAGGCCCAGAGTTCAGGCCCCGTGACCGGACCCAAAAAAAAAGAAAATATGATAGAGACCTATGATTTAGCCTGAACCGATAAAATTACTTTTATGACTGTTCTCAGTCAAGCTGTCCTCCTTAGGAATGATAGAGTAATGGTTGTGAAAAATAGCTTTGACATTTTTAGTACAAGGACCTAGAGTAGCTTATGGTCAGATCCCTCCACTGGGATTTGGAAAGGACTAATTATAACAGAAGAAACTACAATGATCTCTCTACTTCTAGATCCTTCTTAATTGTACTGAATGGTTCTAATGGAGGGGTGGAACTCATCTTGCTCTTGTAAAACACTTAATTCCACATTTACACAGCAACTTGCCTGGGAGAAACTCTCTATGGCTCTAGTCATAAATATCATTATTTAAGTCTGGACTGTTCTGTCCTGGCTTTCTAGCAGCCGTTGTAATCTGCTAATAGCTATTCTGCTTTGGATCTATTGTAAAGGAGATACTAATCCTCAGATAAAGAAATGACATTAAGATTCTTACTGAAACCTAATAATGCAGCAAAGTCCAGGGTAAAAATGTTATTTTTATCTAGAAGGAAAAAAAAGTGAACCTGTTAAATACCAACTGGCATTTTTTTTTTGCGGGGGGGGGGGGGGGGGGAGGTTGGTCATGGAGCTTGAACTCTGTGGGCCTGGGCGCTGTCCCCTAGCTCTTCAGCTCAAGGCAAGAGCTCTACCACTTGAGCCACTGCACCATGTCCAGTTTTCTGGTGGTTAATTGGAGATAAAAGAGGCTCATGGACTTTCTTACCCAGGCTGGCTTTGAACCATGATCCTCAGATCTCAGCCTACTGAGTAGCTAGGTTTACAGGTGTGAGCCGCCAGCACCCAGCTCCATCTGGCACTTTTTATGATTATTTACTTTTTTCCTTTGTTAAGCATAGAAAAGTTTGGTAATCTATCCAAGGTCACATTGTAGACAAACCTGAATGAGAAGTGTGTTTTTCTCATGTTTTTATACATACTGTACAGATTTTTTTTTTTTTTTTTTTGTCGGTCGTAGGGCTTGAACTCGGGGCCTGGGCGCTGTCCCTCAGCTCTTCAGCTCAAGGCGAGCGCTCTACCACTTGAGCTACAGCGCCACTTCCGGTTTTCTGGTGGTTTATTGGAGATAGGAGTCTCACGGTCTTTCGTGCCCGGGCTGGCTTTGAACCGAGATCCTCAGATCTCAGCCTCCTGAGTAGCTAGGATTGCAGGCGTGAGCCACCAGCGCCCGGCTACTGTACAGATTTTTGTCTTGGGTATTCATGCATATGCAGCAGGTGCCTGGGGCTAGCCACTCATTTTCCCTTACCTACTATAAAATAGTAGTGGAAGATAGTCATAAAAATCTGAGTTCTCAAAGATCTGGAGCCTTTCTACTTTCTCCATGA